CCACCATGCCTGGCTCTTTAATTAATTATGCTGAGAAAATGGATATAAATTTTAGGGAGAATTAGTGACTAAAAAGAGTTGTATCAGATATGGTTTAAATTTTAAATAATAACAGCAATCAACTGCTAGTGAGGTCTTTCCGTAAGTAGAAAGTTAGCATTGTGCTAGGTATTTTTTTGCATATATGATCTTATTTAACTTTCACAGCCATACATACTAGGCTTATTTCCCACTTTAAAGATGAGAAACTGCTTAAATAACTCAATGTAGTTCTTATCACCAAGAGGTAGTAGACATAAACAAGTATAGGTAACAAATTTGATACCTAAGCCTATATTTGACCAATAGTCTATACTGATAAAATATACCAATAGTATATTCAATACCAAAAAGTTATTATATGTAACTTTTACTTCATTTTTTCCAAAACAGAAATCATCATGTCACTTTGTGGAATATTTCCAACATATGATCCATTTTCCTTTGTTTTTTCTTAACCCTCATTGAATGAAAAAGAAAGGCTACATACTCCCTTTGTTGCTCATGAAATGCACTACATATATAGGAACAAAATAAAAATATTCTAGGGGCCAGGGATATAGCTCAGCGGCACAAGCACTTACCTGGCAAGTGCAAGGTCCTGAGTTTGATTCCTGGTACCAAAAAAAAAAAAAAAAATTCTGATACCAATATAAGAATTGAGAAATGGAACCAGGAAACAGGGCAGCCCCAAAACTGATCTATGTGTACATATGTAAGTGTAAAGAATTCAGTAATTTTGCATATGAAAACACCATTATCAGTGGACAAGATAAATGTTACTTGAAAAATTCAGCCGGTCTCTAATCCCAGCACTAAGGAGGTTGAGGCAGCAGGATCATTGCAAGTTCGAGACCAGCCTGGTCTACAAAGTGAGCTCAAGGCCAGCCTGAACTGCCTAGTGAGACCCTGTTTCAAAAAAATAAATAAATAAAATAAAAAATAAATTCAATAAGTAGGAAGAAGAATGTTATGCTCTGTCATTTCTCACATCAAAATACATTTAGATTTAGAAATTATACTTTTTTCAAATACTTGAAACTATAAAAACAGGAAAATAAAAACGATCATATGTACTAGATTTGAGGATGAAGCAAGAATATTTTGTTTTACATAAACTTAAAAATTACATAAACAAAGAAGTCCTTTAAAGTAAAAGACAAGTGGCAAACTCACAAAGGTATTTATAGCATACAAAAAATGGTTTATATCTTTTACATAAAGGAGTACCTACTATCAAATGGAAACTAAAACTTTAGTAGAAAAAAGGTGATGTGTCTCAGGCAATTGATCAAAAAAGAATGCAGATAGTCTGCAAAGTACGTGTAAAAAAAAGTCAACTTTAATAGAGTAAGAGGAACTCAAATGAAGGCAATTTTTCTTTTAAGTACCAAATGCTAGTAAAGGTTCAGAGATCAGATATTTCGTCAAGTTGTCACAGGAGTGGAAGTTTATGTAATATTTCCCACAAAAATCTTAAGTTTTCAAAATCCTAAAATATGTTTATATTCATTGATTCTTTATCAGAGTACATGTTGAGAAATTAAAACATATACTTCATAAATTATGTATGAGAATATTTACTAAAAGTTGTTTATAAGAGTAAAATATTGGGAAATACTTAAATTTTCCCCAAAGAAATCTTAAATAAAGAATAGTATATACCTAGAATGGAACATAATCAGTCCTAAAAACTCATGCTACCAAAAAATGGTTGGAGAAGTGCTCATTAAATGTAAAATGAAAAAAATTATACAAATAACAACCATTCATACTGAACAAATATTTACTGAGTACTTACTATACACAAGGTACAGTTCTCTAAGTTAAATTTTTTTTTTTTTTGCTACTGGGAATAGAACTCAAGACCTTGCGCTTCCAGGCAGGCGCTTGTGCCACTGAGCTATATCCCCAACCGGTGCAGTTCTGTATACTGGAAATAATACCAGCCCTCATGACTTATTTTTTACAATTCAATTCATATAGATAGATAGATATGTTTTAGATAAACCTCTGCATGTACTTGTACATACAGTACACATATATACATGTATATACACGAGTGCTTATCAAGATTAGTATGTATGTACATTAAGTATTAGATAAAAGATTACAAATAAATACACCCAGATGTCCATAATGGCTACCTTTGGTTGATGTGAGAGGGACTCTTGGTAATGTACAAGAATAAGGCATTAAATATGAATACCCCTCCACAAAGTGGCTTCACTTTAAACATTTGCACTTGCACGTCCCTGCAGGTAGTCTCCTCACGTTTATTTATTTACTTATTTGTGATGCGAGGGATCAAATCCAGGTTCTTGCACATGCCAAGTAAGCACTCTATCACAGAGGCACACTGTTTAATGTGGATTTGAAACGATTAATCTCATATGCTTTATTACTCAATGTGGCATCAGTCTTAAATTCATCTCAGAGTACCAAGAAGAGTAAGCATTATATGCACTGTAGACTTAAGTGACTGAATGAATGAATAAGTAGGTATCAGGAGAAGACACTGGGAAGAAGCCACTGGAAAGCTGGCCAGGAACATCACTCCAACTGAGGAACACGGTCTGCGCAGTCTGATCCATCCAACTTCACTGCCACTCGCACTACCTCCCCATGGATACAGAGGCTGGGGCATCCTGTAAGTGAGAGAAGACAAGCCCACTCACCACAGACCAGACTGACAGAAAAGTGTTCCTTCCTTCCTCCCTTGTGCTCTTCCGGGGGAGTGTGGAATAATGAACCGGCTGAACTGAAGAAAAAGAAGAAATAAAAAAATAACATGACTCTTACTGCTAATACTGCAACCTGTTGGGGAGTGGGGTCCTGAGAAGGGGTGAAGAGAGATTAAGAAAAAACTGCAGACATATACTAAAAGGAAAGCTGGGACCAGGTGGGACCTGACCTCCCTGATGGAGAGGCAGTGCCAATGTCTCTGCTCTGCATCAGAGAATTTATTTATACAAAGTTAAAGAGACAGAGACACAGACAGAGAGAAAAGCACACCACCGAGCCAGAGTGCAAGGTCTCAGCTCATTCTCAAAGCTATGGTTAACAAGGAAACGCCGGGCATGGAGGCGCACACCTGTAATCCCAGCACGCAGGAGGCTGAGGCAGGAGGATCTTTGCGAGTTTGAGACCAGCCTGGGCTACAAAGTGGGCTCAAGGCCAGCCTAAACTGCATAGAGAGACCCTGTCTCAAAAAGAGAAAAAAAAAAAAAAATTATGATTATATAGTTCATTTATATATTACTAATAAAAATGTCAATAAAATGTAAATAGCAATTTAAGAGGCTTCTCTCTATTCTTAGAGTTTTTCTCATATTTTACTTAATAAATTTAAGGAGAAAATAATTCCATTGCCCTCCCCTACTAACTACAACAAAATACCTGATTTACTATCACAGCAGTACCTGGATTTCTGGAGGAAGATCGCAGAACCTAAACAATCTTATCTCTGCCATCCACCACCTGTAGAACTTTAGAGACCAAACTTCCACACCTTCCAAGGTCAGTTTTCCCACCCATATGGTGAAAAAACATAAGCAATTAATTAAGAACTCCCTTTCCCTAAAAGGAAAAAAAAAGTTCGCGCACGCCGCCAGCAGGTCCGACCCGGCGGCAGGCTGCAGCCCCGGACGCACCGCACAAGCCCCGGGCCCTCAGGGCCAGCACCGCACCGCGCGCCTCCGCCCCGACCCCGCAGGCGTCCACGTCCCCGGCAGGCTGCGGCCAACCCCGCCCAGCCGAGCACCCAGCCTGCCTCGGCCTCCCCGTCCTTCCTCCTCGGCCCTCACCAGGCAGCGGCTGGGACGGACCCTCCTCCAACCGCCCGCAGGCTTCTCCGCCCCGACTCACTTTCCCGCCGTCCCCGTCCGCTTCTCAGCTTCTCACTCGGTCTTCTCGAGCCTCTGAGGGGCGGGGACACCGGAGCCACCCGAAAAGCTCGGCCCACACGACACTAGCAAAGGCCCCGCCTCGCGCCCCGAAAGCGAAGTCGGAACGCGACTGCGCTTAGACATTGGGGTGCGAGGCCGGGAGGGGGCGGGGCGAGGCGAGGAGGGGCGGGGCGAGGAGGGGCGGGGCGAGGAGGAGAGCGCCCTGGGACGTGGCTCCGGATTGGCCAGATGTCCCCCGACGGCTTCCCGCGGAGGGCGGGCCCTCGGGCGCCTAGACGCGGAGGATGCAAATAAGCTTTTTTTTTTTTTTTTTTTTTTGCCACAGGGTTTCACTGTCAGTTCAGGCTGTCCTTGAATTCATTGGGTAGCCTAGGCTGGTCTCGAACTCGCAGCCATCCTCCTGTCTCAGCCTCCCAAGCGCTGGGATTACACGCATGCGGTACCACGCCCAGCTCAACGCCATGGATGGAGCGAGGCATCTCTGTAAGCCGTGGTCAAATAATATGGGGGACGTTTAAATTGAAAAGCATAAAGACATACAAACAAAACCCTTATTACAGTAAAAGACTACTAAAACTTCTAAGCGCTTAAGGCCTGAGAAAGGGGGGCGTGGCCGAGAAGTCAGGGAAGAAGTAACTGGTTTCAGACAATTCCGGGGCCCTGCAGACTAAATATGGAATCTCCCCGCCAGAACCCGAGGAAACACTTGTTGTAGGGTCACCTGTGCTTGGCGAAGGATAGTTGGGCTGGCTGTTCGGTGCCCTCGGCAGAATAGCACCCCAGTAGTCCAGGCCCTAGCTAGCATTGCTCCTAAACTGAGGTTTGGAGCCCAGGTGGGACTGAGGTGCAACAGCGCGGAGGAGCCCCTCCTTGGGATCCTGAGACAGCGGAAAGAGTTTAAAGGGCTTGCACTTTTATGTAGTCGAGCGTGTTGAATTAGGAAAATGTTTCTACTTCCTTAGACCCTGTCCCTCAAACTTGTGCAGTATCAGTAGCGTCCTAACGCATTATTAGGCAAGAAAGCTTTGGTCGGGTGGTTAAAAGCAAAGGACTCTTTGGATTCTAATCTGAATACATCAGTTATTGATGTGACCTTGGCTGAATGACTTAACCTTAATCACATAACCTGTGTTAGGTGAATAGTAATAATGACAGTAGTCTATTAATAGCGTAATAACTATTTCATATACATGTTAGAGTTGAATAAGTTAGTGTAGCTAAAATGCTTAAACAGGTCCCTGGCACATAGGAAGCCCTCTACATGTGAACTATATATTTACAGTTAAATGTTTAATAGAGATGAATAACTCAGAATCTGTCTCCCTGGGCCTCACCATAAAATAAGCACTTGAATTTCTCAGACTCTGTAGCCACATTTGGAAAACTATTATTTATAGGCCTTTTCCTGGCTTGAATATTCAGACAATGACTTAGTGTTTTAATAATTGAGGTCTTATTTGACAAAATTTCATAGCTTTTTTTGTCATCCACCTGGTGACATAGGTAAGTATTTTAACCTTTACCTCATCTTCTCAAGTGTAAGATGAAGCTTTCAGTGTTATTAAATAGATACAGCTGGTAAAGTCCTGAATGCACAGACATTCACCACTCCCTGATGGTAGCTGTCAGCTTCTCCTAAACCAGGTTTTGTAGAGAGAAATCTAGGCATTAGGAGACTCTTTAAAAAACTTGGTGTGGGCTGGATGTGGTGGTGCATGCCTGTAATCCTAGCATTAGGGAGTGGGAGGCTGAGGCAGGAGGATTGTTGTGAGTTTGAGACCAGCCTGGGCTACAAAGTGAGCTCAAGGCCAGCCTGAACTGCATAGCGAGACCCTGTCTCAAAAAGACAAAAAAAAAAAAAAAAGAGCCTGGGCCTCAGATCTGTGACTCCATAGGAGATCTGCACAAATTGGTGTTCCTTGACTTCTATGAGACCAAAAAGAAGGTGCATATGTGGGGCAACTGGCCCTGTGTGAAGTTGGAGACATTATAGAGACCAGAGAGCAAGACGGTTTATCCAGGTACTTCTGTAGGAAAGTGCATAGCTTCGTGCTCCTACTCAACAGCCGACAGAGGTAGAGACCTCTTTGTTTTCCTCCCAAATGTGGAACTGCTGCCATTTAAAATATCCATTAAGCAGACCTGAACCTTTTTTTTGGCAAAAGAAAAAAGAAAAGAAAAAGAAGAAAACACCTAAGAGGATACAGTTGTCACAAAAATAGAATGTGTCTCTGAGGAAAAATAAATGCTGCAAGGCAGGGGATAGTATGAATGACAAAAAAGCAGCACCAAGCATAGCATAAACAAGACTTTCTGGACCTGAATTAATTCAACATAGCTTAAGCATTGTAGCAGCTGAATTAGAGGAGAAAATGGCCACTTTTAACCCAAAATATAGGCCACATGATTTAAAGACACATCCCAAACCACAGAGGGAAAAAAAGATAGAAATGAAAGTCAAGAAGAAAGAGAAAAAGAGTAAAATACAGGTCTGTGAGACCTAGCATACAGACACAGGAGCTCCAAAAGGAACAAACAGGGGAGGGGCGGGGCAGGGGTGACAGGAGATAAAAAAGGAATAACAGTAGAACCAGTTCCTTGGTTAAAAATGAGGCCTGAATCTGCAGATTAACTGCATTTCAGCCTAGATTAATGAGTGAAGGAACACTAGATATAAAGGTACAATTCTTACACTCTAAGAATAATGAGCAAACTCACTAGCTTTCAGGCAGAAAAGGTAAGTTATTTAAAAATAAAAATGATATTGAACTTCTCTTTTGTACCGCTGGAAGTCGGGAATGTGTTCCATAGCAATATAGACTAGGTGGGTTCCAATCCACCAGCCACAATAAAATCACCTATCATGCTGAAAGACAGAGATTTGTAAGAACTCAGAGTCCTCCACTCAGGTTTCCCTAAACTGAGGGAACAGTTTAAGAAAGGATTATAAACAAATGAACCAAAAACAGATACCCTATTGGGGACCACGAATTATAAATTGAGTCTAGGGGATGTCCAAGCTTGTCCTTGTCCTGCCCTTTGAGCTGGATTGGAACACGGAAACTCCCTGCTCTTTTCTGGTCACAGCTGGAAGCCCTAGGGCTAGTGACTCTGTGGCACTCACAGGGCAAGATAAGAACCTCTGAAGACTGATAAGGCACCTGGGGAAACTACAGTTTCCTCATTGCTTCCCTGTCTTCTTGTCCTTGCGAGAATGCTTTGTTTTTCTCCCTACTCCACCATGTCACCATTACTGTTCCCGGAAACACCAGCTACGCTTCACCCATTGTCCTGGATTCAGATGTAATGAGTAAATGCCAAGGCTCTGGTGCCTCTGGCCTTTTGTGCCCTGTGAACAATTGGTCATCCAAGATCCCTGCTGTACCCCCATTTGTCTCTTGCTCTTTCTTCCCACCTGTAGCATTTGACGGGAGATTGAGGACTCACTGCAGGGGTCCCCAATAACTGGCTCCATGAAAGGTGAAAGTGTCCTAATATACTCCACAAAACATTATGGGAAAGGAAACAGAGAAACCTTTGATGTAAAATAATCGAGCTAAAGTAACACATATAAAGAATGTAATATAAGCCGGGCATGGTGGCGCATGCCTGTAATCCCAGTACTCGGGAGGCTGAGGCAAGAGGATCGTTGCCAGTTCGAGGCCAGCCTGGGCTACAAAGTGAGTTCAAGACCAGCCTGAACTGCATAGTGAGACCCTGTCTCAAAAAGACCAAAACAATAAAGGATGTAATAAATTATCAGCCACTATGCTAAATGTGAAAGGATTGAGTTCTCCTATAGAAAAAGAGAAACAACCTGAATGAAGCACCAAAATCCAGCCTTATCTTGTTTACAAAATATGTGAGAGGCTGATTATAAAAAAATACCAGACAATCAAAACAGACCAAAAACTTCAACTAATGAACATTAAGAACAAAAGAATGATATGGAATTTATTTACTGATAAAAGGCGCAATTTATAAAGAATAGTATCGATTCTGCTAAATACAGAGAGCAAAGACATACAAATTTAAGAACTTGATAAATATAAGCTGAGAAGATTCAGTACATTTGTCTCAGAATTAATGTAAGAGCTTTAAAAATAATACATATGTTGAATAGTATAATTAATATTATTGATTTAAAAATATATAGAAAACATATCTCTAGAATAAAGACTTTTTGCACCCATAAAACACTTATAAAAATTGATTATCTGCTTTGTCATTTCTGTCCCTAGCTGATTAAAGTGTTTTTAATTGCCCCGAGAAAACCTCCACAAAGAAAACCTGCATACCTTCCTACTCTCCACAATACATTCACGCACCTACCTGTGTCAGCATCCATTTAGTTAATTTTTTAGTAGGAGAGAAAAAGCTGTGCTCCTAGCTGAGGAACCTACCTAGTTACTAGATTACATCTATTCCTGTCACATGCAAACCTAACTCTAGTCACACCTGTCTCCTGTAACATTCCTTTCCTCTTTACTAGATCTTCCCCACCAACAACAATCAAGTGTGCTGTTCTCTTTTTAAAAACGAAGCAGTTTTGTTTAGGGCTTCTTTAGGGCCATGTCTTTGGGCTGCTATAACAAAATACCATAAACACAGTGGCTTCCAAGTGACAGAAACCTACCCCTCACCATTCTGGAGACTAGATGTCCAAGTTCAAAACACCTACAGGTTCTATCTGGTGAGGGCTCACTCCCAGGTTCATAAACAGCTAAATTGTCCTTGAATCCTCACATCGAGCTTACTGAGCTCCTCTAGAAGGGTATTAATCCTGTGATGTGCGATGATATGTGGGTTTTGTTTTTTTTTTTGAGACAAGATCTCGTTATGCAGTTCAGGCTGGCCTTGAGCTCACGTTGTAGCCGAGCCTGGTCTCAAACTTACAACAGTCCTCCTGCCTCAGCCTCCTGAGTGCTGGGATTACAGGCGTGAGCCACCACGCCCAGTTTACAATGATATGTTGTAGAGTCCTTATACCTTTCAGCGGCTCCAGTTCCTAATACCATCACATTGGGCATTAGCTTTCAATATGTGACTTCTGGGGCAGATGTATTTATTCTGTAGCAGGCCCATTTCACTCACCAGCAACCATCTCGTTTCTCTTCTTCCTTTTAAGCCAAACATCTTGAAAAAATAGATTGTTATCTTAAATTTTTCTTCTTTTAGTCTTCCTTGAACCTATTCCAATTAGATTTCACCCCACCATTCCACTCAATTGCTTTTTTAAAGACCATGAATGACCTCTCTGTTGCTAAATCCAGGGGTTAGTTTCAGTCTCATCTTGTCCTGTCAGTAATATTGGGTGCAACTTCTCTCTCTTGATGCACTTGCTTCCCTTGGATGTTCAGACACCATATACTCTAGGTTTCTATCTCTAAACGTTCATTTTCAAGCTCTTAAGACACTTTTACTGCTCTTCCCACCCTGTGTCCTCTAAACAATAGTGTGACTCAAGAATCAGACTTTGGCATTTTTGTTTCCTTTTGTAGTAGTAGAAATCAAACCCAGGGACACTCTACCACTGAGCTATATCCCTGGCCCTTTTATTTATTTATCTTTTAAATTTTAGGACAAGATCTTGCTAAATTGCCCAGGAAGGACTCAGATGTGCAATCTTCCTGCCTTCGGCTTCTTCGGTGCTGAGATTAGAGGTGTGTGCCACTGTGTCTGGCTTGAATGTTCATGTCATCTACTCTTTCTCCCTTGTGATTAACCTTAGCTTTAGATTCCATCCATAAACCTGCAACTACAAAGCTTACATCTCAGTTTAGACTTAAATTCTGACTCTGGACTCCTCTGGAATCTTCACTTTGACCTCTCAAATTTAGCATGTCCAGAAATGTACTGAGACTCCTCCCAAACTCGATTTTCTCATAGTCTTCTCCATCTCATTCTTCCATTTTCCTAAATCAATATCTTGGACTTATCTTTGATTCCTTTTTCACTTGTTTGTTTTTTATATCCCTTATGTGTTCCATCACAGTTTTTGCAGTTCTACCTTAAATAGCCACAACAGAACCAATGTACACTTGAACTGCTGTGAGCCTTGCTCTAGCCATCACTTTCTCTCACATCGGTAGTTATACTCTCTTAGTGGCTCTGTTTTTACCATTGCCCTACTCCTGTCAACCTGATCACTATCCATAATGATTCTCTGGAAACATAATTGTGATTATTCATTTGCTCAAAACCTTTAATTGGCTTCCTAGCTTACTCATAGTCAAAGCCAAAGTACTTGTAGTGACCTATATGGCCCTGAATAAACTCATCTTTCTCATTTTTCCTTTGACCTCTCATATCTCACGCTCCATTATTCTGCCCCTTCATCCTATGTTAGCCCTGCTGGCCTTGTTGTTCCTTCAACTTGCTATACTCATTTCTGCTTCACTCTTTTTACATTCATGATATATTGTTGATTGACTTACTTCCTGTTCCAGGTGCTGGGGATAAAACAATGAGTTAAAAATCTGTATTCATTGCAAAGCTATTCTCTTGATGGGCTGAAGTGTGGAGAGCAAATGCCAATAAACAAATAAGTCATATTATTTATTGTCTGGGAAAGTAAAGATGCAAACATTGGAATAATAGAATTCAAATTTGTGACAGTATGTGTGTATTTGTGATTATGGGCTTAATTATACAACACAGGGAAAATATGAGGATATATACTGAACAGTTTATGTGCATAATGTGGATTATGAATGGGAAGGACTGATGTGAGTGTAGACAGGAAGAAAATGGGAACTTATAAGACAGTCTCCCAAGCTTTTAGTAAAAAAGGAATTTCACCACTTTAATTTTATATCTATGCTTGTGGAAGATGAAGGAAATGACAAGTTCTGTGAATTTGACAAAGAAATCCTCCAAGCATATTTTTAGTACAAATAACACTTCCAAGTATCAATTATAATCAGAAATAATCAGAAAATAGATGACTATGAATATGTATTCAGATTTCCTTTTGGGACTGTAGGGAACCAGCCAGACTGCTTCAAAGCTCAGAGGTGTCTAAGGACACCTGAGGACATGACCCCGTTTGTCTAGTACAGGCACAGTGTGGAATATAGTTATGTAACCATGACTTAGCACAGGTAAACACGCATGTGCTGGTTATGGCACTATGTAAGAATGTAAATGTGAGATAACACACTGTGTAAGAATTGTACAATAAAGACAGCTCTTGCTCTTGTGCTCTCTGCTGTGCTCCGAGCTACCTGCTGTTGTTGCTGATGTCTTACATGTAAGCATTCTTTCACCTGAGGACCACATCCATGAAAATCTCCCTTGCCCTCCCCCACAACCCCAAGCTGGCCAACAGAGACCATAAAATAAGATGGAGACTGTGTTTTCAACTTAGCATCTAATTAGATGAGTTTATGAAGAATAGTGTTTTTCTAGCTGCAGAAATGTGAGGAGTGATCTTTAAATATTTTGTGAGATAATTTTTTGCTCGTAGGTGTTTAGAAGACTAGCATTTTTATTTTTTATTGTCACTTGAATGACCAAAAAGTTAAATTTTGCTACAAGTAATAAGAAGCAAACCAAGACCCGGCATGGTGGTGCACACCTGTAATCTCAGCACTTGGGAGGCTGAGGCAGGAGGATCGTTGTGAGTTTGAGACCGGCTTCGGCTACAGAGTGAGCTTGTGGCCTGCCTGAATTGCACAGAGATACCCTGTCTCAAAAGAACAAAAAAAAAAAGAAGCAAAGTAAAATTTTCTTTAATAATGGGGCAATAGGGAGCAAACCCAGGGGTTACTTTCAGTAGGAAAGTTAAAACCCAAAGAAAAAGAAACAAAAAAGATTGCACTAAAATTACAGGAAAACACTTAAGCATTTATGTAAAAATAATTATGGTCAATTACATATAAGTTGAATAAAAATTTAGAATTTCTTATTTAGTTTTGTAAAGGTACAATTTCAGGACTCTCAAGTATCTAAAAGTTTCTTTAGTTTCTTTAACTGTTTTCTCAGGTTTTTTTTCTTAACATTTCAGAAACTAAAGTTTTGAGTACCTGGTTCTATGAGCATGTTACTGGTTTCAGAACCAAAACTTTTAACATTCATAGATTTTTTTTTTAATTAAAAAATTGTATATACTCATACACAAAATAGTCAACATAATACTTTTTTTTTTTGGTCTTTTTGAGACAGGGTCTCGCTATGAAGTTCAGGCTGGCCTTGAGCTCACTTTGTAGCCCAGGCTGGCCTCAAACTGGCACCAAGCCTTCTGCCTCAGCCCCCCAGGTGCTGGGATTACAGGCAGTAACCACCATGCTCAGTTCATAATACTTGGAGGTTATTAGATAACCAGTTAATACAGTAGATTGGAACACAACCAAAGACATGAGTTGGCCTTTTCTCTTACTTCACACTGTGGGTTATTCTTTGTAAGTTTTTGTTTGTTTGTTTGTTTTTGTTTTGCTTGTGGTACCAGGAATCAAACTCACGACCTCACGCTTCCCAGACAGGCACTGTACCACTGAGCTATATCCCCAGCCCTAACATTTATTTCTGTAAGGTTTTTTTTGACTGTTGGTTATTATTTTGAGTTACTTTTTATGTGACTCTTTATAGTTTGGGCTTCTAATTTCTGATGATGATCAAGGTTGTAGGAAACTGTATCAGCTGTGTTGTAACCTTGACATCAGCTTCATGTATTTACTTAATGCAATGAATACTAGCTCATACTTTTCCAATAAAGTTTAAAGTTCTCCATGAAAATTCCACCTGGAAAAATGCTACCTGAAACAAGGTGTCAAACATCGCCAAATTCTCCCAAATCTTGTTATACAAATAGGAAAAAGTGCTTTGAGTGGGTTACACTGAGAAAAAGGAAGCCACTAAGAGAGCCTGCATATTTACCCATTTGGGGTAGATGCCTGTCATGAATTCCTAAAACTGCTGGTTTTTTAGGGTCTAAGCCAACTTTGAGATTCCTAACCTCCTGACCAAGCCCATTTATTTACACAGGAACAGTTCTGATCATTTGAGATTTGGATGAATATTATGGCATATCCATAAGTTAACGTAGGGTTATGGTGACCATCATCATTGTTTGAGGCAAATTTTCCTGAAATGTCAGGGAGGCCCTGTGCTGTAATTTCCTCCTCTCAGATTGCTTCAGGTGTCAGATATCCGCATTGGTCACACTCTTTCTGCAAATGTGAGCATAGCAGCGTCTTCTCTTTCCACTTAAGGAGAAATAGGACCCATCCCCTACCCACTCTACCCCAACATTATGTCCCTTACCCTAGTTGATTTTTCACCATAACAATGGTCACCTGGTAAAATACAATGCTTTATCTGCACTCCTTTGTAGAATGTAAGCTAAACTCTGTAGGGTTTGTTGGTAGTGGAAGACTGGATATTTTGTTTACTGCTGAAAGGGGCCCAGAAAACTGCCAGACATGAAGTACAAGCTCAGTAATTACATGGAGTATTAGATGAGTGGATAAAAATATATTGCTTGTTGGGAATCAGCCTGTCTGAAAGGTCATTCAAAGATAGGGTTCAGTTCCCAGCTTGCCTACCTTCCCCCACCTCATCATTGATCATTAGGAAAAGAAGAAAGTTGTGAGCCTACAAGGGTGCTGAACCCAGAGGCATCTGTCTATCCATCCGTCCATCCAAAATCCCTTGAGGAGTGAGTGGGAGGTGGCAACAGGGGTCAGAGGGCTCCCCGTGCCCAGCCAGCCAATCAGTGTTCAAGTGCATTGGCCCGGCCCACACAGTCCTCCTATTGAGTTTGCGCACGCACAGGGGAGGAGAGAGAAGAGGCCTTAAAGGCCAGCGGCTGCGCTCGGCTCATCAAGCCATGAGTAGCTGTGGAGCCCTTTCAGGTTTTTCTTCCCCTCTTTAATGCGTGGCTTTTGGCGGTGGGGTTTAACCTGCGCCACCGACACCCACTGAGACCCAAGGTAAGGAATGACCCTCCTTTCAACAGATGTGTGAATAGGAAGGACTCCGTGGGATGAGTCTGTGAAAACAAGGAAGGGGACGTGGGCCCTGGGCCAAGGCCCCAAAGCAGGTGCAGGCAGCATCCCGGGTGGCTGGTGGTGGTGGCGTTTAGGCCTTTGGCCTGGGCGGCACCGCGCTGGAGAAGTGACGTTCCAGATGAGCGTCTGCTGTCACCGGTGTGGGGGTGGCGTGGGAGCCCAGAAGCGGAGTGCACCCGTGGGTGACGCGTACTCTTTGTATGCAGACCGAGGATCGCTTTTGACTCGTGCAGAAGCCACTTTTTAATCCAGCCGAGCTAAAGTGTGACTAGTCCCGCTTTCACTAGGCCTGATAAATTCGGCAGACTGCCCCCCACCCCTACCATTTGTGCTTCAGTCTCAGGCTCTTCCAGCGAGCCGTGCTACAGTTTTTTACTTTGGGCTTCCTCAGAGCGGCTTCCCGTCTGAAAATGAAGCAAAGCAACTAAAAAATTTTTACGGTCTCAAGTGTTATCTCTTGTCTCCTCTTCCTGGCAAGGTTCTAGAAATAGTATCGCCGCCCCTTGACCCCAAGATGACCTAAAATTGCTCTCGCGGAAGTTTTCGCAGAAAACTACCGGCCAAATTCAAGTACAGTTTGATGACATTCGTTATCTCATGAGATTTGACAAATGGATGTAAATAGCTGGGGATTTAGCCCAGCGGCACAAGCGCCTGCCTGCCTAGCAAGCGCAAGGTCATGAGTTCGATTCCCGGTACGAAAAAAAAAGAAAATGCAGGGATGTAAATAAAAGGACATAAAACAAAAATTCCCTCAAACGGTATATTGTACTCTGTCAGAATTGTAGATATCATGTACTGTATTCAGACTCATATCTTGGCTCAAAGGGATACAGGGAAAGGAGAAAAAAATGAAAAAAGTGGAATTATGTGAGTCTAGGAAAGAGAAAAATATCAGGATATAAGGCATTGTTAAAGATAATTATATAGCACTGTGGCACCCTGTAAACCAGGTGTCTACATTAACTTCTTTAATTCTGGTAGAGGCAGATTCTTTTGTTATTCCTGCTTGCAAGTATGAAAACTGAATCTCAAAATGCCTGTTTTTCAAACAGTGCTAGTTAGTATGAGCTATCAGTAGATTCTTGGTAAACAGTAGACTGCAGTGGGCTGAGGAAATGTAATAAGTAAAATACGGAAGACTGAAGTTTGACTCTGAAGATTATGGGTACATAGAGTAAGGGAAGTGTTTGTTAAAGACTTAAGTTCGATCTAGGCATATTTAATGCTGCTAGAAGGACCTAGAAGAGAGGAAGTTCAAGCAGAGCAGAGTGATTACTAATGTATCACTCAGGCCACAGGTGGAGGAATGGGCTGTAGGAAAGGGCAGAGAGCCTCCTCTGTTTCAGGAAAGAAAAAGTGATAGGCCCATATGCAGTGATAGCTATAAATTTCTAGATAAATTGAGGAAGGTCCGGGGATGTAGCTCAGTGGCATAAGTGCCTGCCTGGCAAGTGCAAGGTCCTGAGTTCAATTCCTGATACCAAAAAAAAAAAAAAAAAAGTTGATGTGTTCCATGCCTCACTTTTTCTCACCGTATTTTGTATGCCCTGGAGAAATTTAGTGTTTGTTTCCTGAGATTTGCTCCCTTCACTTAAAAAAAAAAAATTTAGAACCTGATTCTATCAGATTTATCTGTAATCTAGAATATTTCTGCAATGTAGTTTAAAAATAACCGTAAAATTGTCATTAGCAAGAATAGGGGACACATTTTGAAAAACTGGAAAGGACTGGGATTAGAGCATGATTTAAATTGAATTCCATCTGTATCGTTTACTAGCTGTATTTAGCACATTGCTGAAGGGAAGACAAGCGTGAAGGGGCTGGGAAGAGTGTAGTGATTAGATGAAGGTGGTTTAGGTGATTAAATTGGATTCCTCAACTGAATAAAAATCAGCTAGATTTGGTGGCACACACCCTCCCAGCACTCCGGGGGCTCAGGCAGGAGGATCATAGCAAGTTCGAGGCCATCTTTAACTACATGACGAGACCCTGTCTCAAAAAATAAAAGAAAAAGTATGAGTCTTCAGACAACTTGATAAATAATGGGAAAATGCAGGCCTCCAAAGACTAGGATTTGATGGTGCTTTCAGGACACTCACAGTGTGAGGGCATGAACCTGCTCAATTAACTGGAAGATATCAGTAGGAAGTGGGTTATGGAGAGTTGAGGTTATTTGAGAGTTTGAGTAGTTGCTGCTGACAAAGCCCGAGGAAAGAATGCCAGAGAAATGCTGGAGAGCAGTGAGGTAAGAGAACGCTGTTTCAGGTGAACTTTAGGAACGGACTTGTGCAGAATAGCATGTGTTGAGGAGAGAAAGTGGAGGGAGCTTTAGCTAGCAACAGACCCTCAGTGACGATGTGTGGATTTGTGACCAGAAATGACATTCTAAGAAGAAATTGCGGCATATTGCAATTGCATGTGTTTCAAGAGTAATAATGTGCCAGCAGGGGTGCAGTAACAGTGTTTTTAGAGGTGGAAATACATGTTGGGTAAGGGAGAGAAGGGATGAACAGTGTAACTAATACTTAGTAAAGACCTGTATGATGCCAGGTGATGAGAGTTAGATCCAGACTGTAGTCATCTAAAGTTGGCTTTGATACCACTTCTTTGGAGAAGATTAGACTGAGATTCAGAGGGATGAATTTTTTCTTAAATTTTTATAGCTTCTAAGTGGTAGGCTGGGGAATAAATCCTGGAAGAATGGAACAAACAAGACAGTATATGGGTCTATATTAGAAGAATATTTTATGGTAGAAAAAGTATTACAGAAGACACTAGATCCATTCCAAGCCGAATATAATGGGCTTTAACATGTGTTCATTGATTTAATCTTCTTTTCTTTTGTTTCTTTGTTTCTTTCTTTTTTTTTTTTTTTTTT